TTTTTTTTTTTTTTTTTTTTTTTTTTTTTTTTTTTTTTTTGGTGCTAACCCTTACACTGCTTTACCAAGGCCACATTTGCAATTTACAGGATTGAAAAAGGACATTACCAGGCTATTTTCGAACATAAATATGAGCCTTGCTATACAGATGAGAATCCCACGGGATTATTATTGCTAGTTTTAGAAAGATTGTAACAAATATACAGAAACACTGTATTTTGAGGTGCTAAGAAAAGACCGCCAATGGTGGTGAACACTGACACCTGCTGGAGTACACACAGAAAAAAAATCTGAAAAATGTGAAATAAAGTGATTTTCAGAGACCTCTAGTGGCAAATGATCAAGAAGACAAAGTTCATGAGGATGGTTAAGCTGTAATACATATAACTGATACCCAGTCCTAAAGCATTAAATATACATCATCAGAACAGAGGAAAAAAAACCAAAACAAACAAAAATCACACCAAAAAAACAGAGCAACCACTTTTTACCAGTAAGGACATGCTTGTGGACAGACTGTACTGGAATCTCAGCTAGGTCACAGAAAAATAAAGAAAGCGGTGAAATCCTACAAAATGCATCATACTAAATCTGAAATAAGGTGAAAAAATAGTTGCTGCCCTTCAGCTGAAACAGGACAAGATTCAAGTGTCTTTAATAATTTATTGTAGCATTTTACAACACTTCAACATATTCTTGACTCACTCCACTATACAGAATTTAATAGTTCTATGAGACATATAGAGTAGTCAAAAAGCTACAAAGCTGGAAAAAAGTTATCTCCGTTTTAGCAGGAAGAGAACAGAGGATTAGCTCGAAAAAGTAACACAGTATGTCACTAACAGAGCTAGAAATGGACTGAAATACACAGGTAGTTCACAAAAGATTAATCTATAAACAAAAATAAAGTGATGCTACTGACAGCTACTTACATTTTCTAAGAGCATTTCTCTCTCATCCTCCACTTCTTGACTCCATACAGTCATATCATTTTTAGTCTTCTGGGTGACAGTTAATACCGTTAAGCGGTTGGCATTCACCTCTGGAAATATTGACTCAAAGTCTAAAAAAAGTTAAACCATCACATTACGGCTTGCTCTTACATTTTACTTATGGCTTTCTCAGTTTTAGACAAATTATTGACCCTATCCAATTATTTCCTCCTTGAACAAATTAAAGAAAGATACAAACCCAATGGTTTCAGAAGTTTCTTAATTTCAATTTGCTATTTTACTAAGAAGCAGTGCCAAAAAAAAAGTTTTTGTCACAAACTGGTTTTTGGATAGGGAATTAGCTCCAGAGTCTACACTAAAGAAGCAGCTGAGTTACTCCCCGCCCAAGCTGACCTTCAATTTAAATGGCATTGAATTTTATATGAAATACTAAGTAATGTCAACAGTAAAGTTTCAGTTTTCATTTTACAGTATGTATTGTTCTTTTGTAAAACATTAATTCCAGATTACCCTTTTCTACTACACATCCTGTGGCATCTATTACATCAAAGTGTCTACTGACATATTTTTTTACATTTTAAAAGTTATAACTTCTTAGCTGTCATTAAAAGTGAAAATATACCTTTTTGTAACAGCTCTGGACAAGCTTGTACTGCACATTCTACCTTTGCATTTTCAAAGTAAGTTTCAGCGTTTTTTATTTGCTGTTTCTGTGGAACATCAGCCCCCTGAGAAAAATGAAAATTATAACTTTCTAATTTGTTAATATACAACAGGAATAACTTTGTACACCAGACTATGTTTTTGTGATTAAATGTCCACCGATACACTCAAGCAGATTCACAGAAAGATGATTTGCAATGAGACTTAAAATTTTTCAAATATTAAAAGTGAAACAGATATAGGTATTATCTATCAAAGCTAAACAGAAATACTAAGTTTTTTATTTTATTGTAACTCTATTATCTCAAAGCCTTAAGCAATACAGAAACCTTTGAAAAATATCTTCTGAAACAATGGCCTTAAGTACTCAATACAAAAGCAGTTGATAGATTTCAGACACATTACCCGAGCCAGAATTTAGTTACACAAGAATTCTAGAGCTGTGAACTATCAGTATTTTTAGCTTTAGCTGTTGTGCCTTGAAAAGCAGAGTTTTCCAATAATAGCGTTTTTATTCTTGACAGTTTTTTAGTTCTATAGTTTCTTAAAAAAAAACAAACCACACCCCAAACCAAAAGCAATCCCAGATTCTTATGGGTACACAACAAAGTATGTTAGATATATAACATTTAAGCTTAAAATGCCCTTAAGAAGGCAGTAACAAGAGCTGCCTCCTTTGGAATAGAAATAGGCACAGAACGCCTTAAATCAGTTTTCCTAGCTCTAACTATGCCAGAATTTACAAGGAATTTCAATGATCTTCTCTAAGACTGGTATTACAATGTTGAGTAATACACGAAGTCCCACCTAACAGTCTGCATCTGAAAGTTGTCCCTGGAGAAATCTATTACGCTGAAAACACAGTGTGGCTACCATTTTTCTAGAAGTTGACAATCAAGAACAGAAAATAAAAAACAAAACCAAATAATCAGAAACTAAACATAACAATAGACAAACTAGAGAGTAACTGCAGTTTCAATACAAGTTTCCATGTGTTGCATTATGATCTCAGGCACGGGGACTGATCAGTTGCTGCTTTAAGCCAGACAAGCCATGCATTATGCTGGGAAACCCCTTCTTTTCTTCCTAACTATAGGATGCTTCTCTTACTAAGATAGTTCATCGTGATTTCTTGCCTACTACTTCCATTCTAGCAGGCTAAACACCACTTACATAGTCCATACGCTTACCAGACATCCTATCATCAAGAGACTATGGCCATTTTCCAAAGATCAATACCTCTTTCTGATATTGACAGGTCAGCAGGCCCACTTACTCTGCCCAGATAAAACCAGTACACGAATCTCAGGCACACAGCGTGCCATTTCTCTGAGCAGTTCAAGGGCTGGAGTGAGCTTCACCAGCATTAAGCTTTTCTCCTGCTTGCTGCAGCAACCTATGGGAGGTTCTTGTATTCAGCTGATCCCATTCAAATCTGGGTCCCCTCCTAAAGTAGTTTAAGTATTTTTGTTCACTAAACACTGTTCATGGATTCTCCTAAACACCGTTGGTATGAAGCAGAGCTGACTCTTGTTGACTGCTTTCTGAATACTAGCTGCAAAACCTGCCTCTACTCTTTCCAGTTTCATCTTTCCATTTTGGGCAGGAACAGCTGCACCAGGCATTTTATTATGCAAGAAATCTTACTAGAAAGCAGCCCACCTGGACTAGAATTTTCTGTTGGGCTTTTTACGGAAAGTATGATCCACACGAGCTGAAAACAGAATCTGTGGAGCTCACCAGAAGCTTATGTAGATTATGTTTTCTGAACACTTTGGAATACGATGCTACATTTACAAAAAAACACTATACAGCATTTTTACAATGGAGATGTGCTAGTTGACTTCTGAAGTCTGAGCACGTCATGAACTCCGAGAGCCTGCAAAGTTGAGTCAGCAGCCAGTAGCACTAAACATTTGTTGAAACGCTGCGATCACGCTAGCAATTATCAAGGTGCTTCTTGTTAATAATGCATCTGACTCGCTGCAAGCTCTGCCATTGCCAAAATGCAGTCTCATGGTGAGACCTGAGGTTCAGGTACATTCATCTGCTTCTCCTGTGTGACTTCAGTGGCTGTCAGAACTACGCAGGCAGATTTAAACACTGTCCAAACTATTTAAGTCCAGATCCATTAAATGAAATATGGAAGAAACTACCAGTTCCACTTGATAAAAGGTGTTAAGACATGGTAAACAGCAAGTTTTGAAAACAGCAACTTCTGAAACTGAAGTTTTCTTTTCCCATATCCGTATAATTAAGTCACTACTAAAATGTTTTTGTTTTTTTTCCACTAAGCACTGCTTATTCAAAAAAACACCCCCTGAAATATTTCTTTCTCCTAAAAGAAAAAAACTTCACCTAGGTTCTGTGTCATCTCTCACTCACCCCAGCTGAAGACCATCTTTCAAAACCATCTAGAAAATCAACACTATCTTTTTTTCAGGAAGGAGAGAGATTAGTTGTTTTTCTTAGACAAGAAATATCAGTTTCACACAGAAGAAGCCTGTTCTTACCTGAAATTCATTTACATATTGTGCCATTACAAATTCATGCCTTTCACTTGCTGAAGGCTCTGCTAATATATCAGGCAGACTTGTTGAAACTTGGCTTTTCTTCTGAGAAGCAGTGCCATTTAGGTGACAGTCAAAACCAATATTACCAGGCAACTGAAATCTCTGGTCCTGAGGACCAAACGGACCCATTACTTCATCCGGCCACACAGTTCTTGGACCTGCAAAAGTCAAGGCCTTGCTATAGTCATCACATCTACAAAGAAAGAAGAAAACAAACAAACACCAACCCTCTCCCATACAAATGTCTGTATTTGATCATAATCATATATAACCAAAGTAACCACAATGCACAAGTAAAAGGGCCCTGACATAAAAAGCACACTTCAGAATTCCCAAATTTATATGGGGTGCAAAGTTCTGATAGCACACGAATTCAAAGAAATTAATTTGCTTTTTCTTACATAAATCAGGAGGCGTAGCAGCAACATGAGGCTCATCTGAGCCAGAGGAACCTGCTGTAGAAAAAGCCTTGGGATTTACAACTCTCTTGACTAAGGAATAAAACCCTGGTAGGTAGGTGACCAATCTTGCTCTGTTACAGAGCACCTGAGAAGACAAAAACAAAATAAGTATTACATACTGTTAGAAAAAATATTAGTTTAAGTATAGCTTTGTGGATCACAAGAGAAATCCTCACTCGATAATTAAATTACAATTTTAGTTATGATCAGAAGTGTTTCTGTAAAATCAAGTTTTAAGAGTATTTTATTATTACTTTAACATTTATATTATTAACAGTATTTTATAGGAAAAGCCTCAAAAACACTTACTGAAAGGCCTCCTCATGTGAGGAAGAAACCCTGGGAAGTTTAAACAGCACCACTGAAACCCCACAACCTAAACCAAGTTATGGATAAGGACTGGGTTCCATGATTATTTCCATGCACGTGATTATTTCCATGATTGTCACAATTCAACCACGGGTTTGATTATCAGAAATATCTAGAAATATGGTTAATTAAGTAAATGCTGATATCCACGACATTTGCCTTGAAGGCTAGCACAGAGATTAGCCAGCCCATATTTCTACATCTTAAAAGGCTGGAGGAAGACACAAGGTAGCTACAAGATGAGTCTGGAGTGATACCCTCATTTAGAAGCAAGCACACGTGTGTGCTTACACATACTTCTCCACCCTCAAAGGACACAGCCCAACAGCTCTGAGCTATGCAGGGATACGCCTATCAAAACAGGCAAGGGTGGTAATTTCAGCCTCTTTCCTTTGCTCTCAAAATCTGTAGACATTTAACAAATGCAAAACTGAAGTTAGCACAGCCAGTGTTATTTAGATTCGCAAACTCTGTACACTGATATATTTACAAACAAACCTTACTGCAAACAGATCAGTATGGTTGTCAGAATGCCAATAAGCCATAAAGACTTTATGAATTCTGTAGTCTCGGAATACACCAGAAAATCTGCTTCACACCACAGAGTTGTACTGTCAACATAACCTTCAACTGTTGAAGATGATTCTATCAAACTGATTCAGCCACACAGTAAACAGAAAATGATGCAACACTATCTCCCTGAGCACGCAATGGTCGCAGCAACAGGGCTCCACAGAGCCAAATGGCTCCTCACCATAAGGATTATTAACTGTGAGACCCAGTTCTTAAGTACTTAAGACAGTATCTTAAGTAGTAATATGAGCAACTGTTTCTGGGGGTTTGGGTTTTTTTTTTTAACATGAAATATCCAGGTGAAGTGATTAAACTAGAAAGCCTGATCTATTTTTTTTATTCTATAAAAATAGACTGACAACTTTCATGACGCATTTACACATGCATAACAGAAAAATATCTCAAAACGTAGAGACAGAAGTGTAATTTAAAAAAAATTAAAGTCTAATTAACTCCAGCAAAAAAACTACTAATACTCTTGATTACAGCTGCACAAAAGCATGCATTACTGGAAAATATAAATCCCACCTGCTATAGCACGTGTGCTTTCACTGAAGCACATTATTTTCCAGGTAAGGTAAAGAAATTCTTTTGAGAAACCTGACATAAAGGTCTTTTCCTTAAGTGCTGTATTCTATAAAAGTTTACGCGTGTTCACCACTAAATACGTATGCAACAAGGTTACTTAAAAAAAAAAAGTGAGAAAATGGTATGTTTAAGATCAGAACTCTGTTTGGAGTATCAGGACCTAAGCCAGTAAGCATCACTTTCTCATACACCACCTCTGTGTAAACATACAGTAAATTCTACCAACTCAAAAGCATAAAAGCATATTTTATTTTCTGACAAACATTTACAGGTAAGGCCTTAAGCTGCCTGTTCTAAAACACCTCTATGTTTAAAAGGTGCCTGTAACAACAACAAAAGTCTTCTGATTCCACTTGAATGTTTTTTCCTATATTATGTAAAACCAGTAAATGAAACTAATTTTTGCATAATGATTGAGTTACAGATAAACCAGATGTAAACAATTACAGCTGACACATAATTACAAAAGAGCGTTTTCTTATAATCAGGATCACTTAACATGCAGATGTTGGTGTTAATTACAGGTATGTTGACTGAGCTCACTTATGCCAATATTTACGTACCTAGCATTACATAGTGAAAAAACACCGCTGAAATCAATAAATTATTCATGTCTCCGTAGGAAGACTAAATCAATAAAGCCTGTTTCATTCTTCAGTCTGGAAGTACCCTGGTGAACCTGTGTGTTTCATCTTAACTCATGACATTAAGAAAACCCAAACAAAACAGATCCTACTGAATCCTCAATTCGATTATTCCCACAATATCCACGGAAATTGGCTTCCAAAACTTAGATGGAAGGATAACAATACCGCTGCCTTCTCATAAAGATGTACCTTGGTATAACTGAGGTTTTTATCAATAACTCCCCCCTAAGCGCGGTGATTTAAAGACAGCTTTAAAGGGTGAATAAAACTCAAGCGTCGCGGATGACAGGGGGAAGCGCTCTCCTTTGCCTTCTCATCGGGACGAGCCGCAGGGGCGGGCTGACGGCCACCCCCCCTACCGCGAACCGCCGGCGAAGG